ACGTGTGCTCTTCCGATCTCAGCGATAATTCCCAGAAACGTATATAATGCGTTTTTGCACACATTTTCTTCTGAATTTGTCAAAATGTCCGTGACGCTTATATTATATGGTTTTAAAACATCATCGCACATTTTTATTGCATTTGCAAAGACTTGAAATTTTAATAAATATCGACCTAATGTTGATTTAGAACTGATATTAATTTTTTATTTAGAACTACTATATAAATAAAGTATATCATATAAAAATACATACCAATTCCTGGCCATTGCGACCCTAAGGCTGAAAATATAAAACAAACAGGTCTTTTACCATTTTTTAAATTTTGAATTTCTTGTATTGATTCTTGTTGTGAAGTATTCAGTATAATATACCCTCTCCATGGATGACCATCTATATTATCTGAGTGGACATCGTGTAGTAAACGAATATATTCTACATCTATTTGATGATTAGCAATCTGCAATGATAAATTTTTTAAAATAATACGACGTAATGTTTCTACTTGTCCAAAATAATCTCAACTGATTTTTAAAAAATATACTAACGTCATTTATAAATAATTTTACTGATTCTTTAGTGCGTCCAGATAATATTACAAGTCTTGGCAAATCATCATTTGGCGCGCCATTATTAACTTTCTGTTTCGGATTCCACTTTAATAGCGTATGAGCATTTGACCCCCCAAAACCAAAAGAACTGATACCTATGTAACCATTTTTAAGCGGCAATGGTTTTTCGACGACACGAACAGTTCCGTTTACCAAGGCATCTATATCATTTCGCGGCGATGTATAATTGATATTTGGTGGAACAAAACCGGTTTCAAATGCTATTATTACCTTAAAAAATGAATAACAATTTTAATTATAATAACACATATGGAAAAAATCTTTGGATCCAATGCTATAATTCTTTGATTTATTATAAAATAAGATCAACATCGAGCCAATCATATTTATTATTGAAACGTTTTTCTGTTAAATAAAAATTTTTTAAATCTAATATAAAATAATTTGTTTTACCTTAGCGATTTGAGTAAAACCGCTAGCAGGTTCAGCATGACCAAGATTGGATTTTACAGAGCCGATCATTAATGGAGTTTCTCTATTCTTACATAATACATTAGAGATAGCATTAATTTCTTGGAGGTCGCCAACTTTGGTACCGGTGCCATGTGCCTCCATGTAATCCAAACAAGATGTAGATATTCCGCATTCATTGTAAACCTCTGTTAGTAATGTACTTTGTATAATCGACGATGGGTACGTTATGCCTTCTTCTTTGTAACCATCATTGTTTATTTTAATGTTTGGAAATATGGCATAAATCCTCTTCGCATTCTTCACCTTTTGAAGGTATATCACTGACACCGTTTCGCTACGCGAATAACCATTTCCAGCAATATCAAAAGGTTTGCAATAACCACTGAGTGACACAACACCTGAGAGATATCAAATATATGTAAAAATATGTGTGGATGTTTATTTAGAATGAGCTTATACACAGAAAAATTAAAGAATTATCTTTCACAATATGGCATTCAAATTTATGGCAAAAATCTTATTATAAACGTTTTCATAAAAGTTATTCAATTAGTTAAATTTTATATTTATATATCTGTTAAATTTTATTTTACTTTTCATGAAGAAGAGAAGTGTGTTTTTTTAATTTTACTGCGTATTAAGAAAGTTATTAATTTTTTAAAAATACCAAGCCGAGCGTATAGTTGGGTTACAGCAGGAACAAAACATAAGTTTGCAGTTCCAATTATTGCGTCTTCGCATATGCCCGACTTAATACAATTATAAGCAACGGCCACGGCAGTAGGGCCAGAACTGCATGCTGTATCAACGGTATATGATGGTCCTTTCAGATCGAAATAGTATGAAATCATGTTTGCTGTTGTAGATTTGCTACATCCAATAATATTCTGACCTCCCAACTAATTACAAAATTTTAGCGCATTATAATTTCTTGTTCTTAAATAATTAATATAATAATTTCTTACTATACCTATATTAATTAATAATTTTCTCTACCTGAGCGGTCTCATATAAAAATTTCTTTTGCGACTCATTAAAAGCTGTTCCTATGATCACAGCAGTATTTTTTCCTCGTAATTGCTTTGGATTGATTCCTGCGTCGATTATTGCTTCA